CGAAATTTGAATATCAGACACTTAGGTGCAAGATTATGCCAAAATTTCATGTTTTTCGTCCCGTTTTTGCTCATTTCTCGGAGGCAAAATGAGCAGCAGCGCTCATTTGTACATCATTCTAGACAGAAATAAATGGCCTTTTTAGAAAGTGAACCATAGATAAGAAAATGTTGGCAGTTTTATCAAAAAATGCTTGAATTCAAGAAGTTTTAGATTTGCGTGGTTTCTTTGAGTTGCAAAATCCCTTTGAACATGACCCTGCTTTTTTCGAAGTTTCTCAAGAATCATTCGAGCTACAGAATTTGCTTTGGCATCGTTGGATAAAGAATTGAAAACTCGATTCAGTCGTAACAACGTGAGTGAGGAAATTCGAGTGGTTTTGACCCAGAAAGCGAAATTTGCATATCAGACACTTAGGTGCAAGATTATGCCAAAATTCCATGTTTTCCGTCCCGTTAGAACGTAGAAGTTTTTTTCTAACTACTGGTTTCGGAACAAATAAGTGTTAGACACGCTTGCCGCACAAGCAAACGCAATTTACAAAGAAAATTTGAGAAAAATCCCGAAAATGTCCTGACGCTTATTAAATCTTTTCACACATCTTTTGAGTCAAAAAATGTGGGAGGCCTTTTTGATCAAGTGCTTACCTTTATGTCTGAAAGTCCGTGAGCATTCTGGACATTCGTGCGTCTTCTCCTTGGGCTTGGGCGGGATGTACTCGGGGTTATGGTAGAGGTTTTGATGTCGCTTCAACAGCTGCTTTTGCCTGGAAATAGGCACGTAAAACATTAAAGCCCCGATTTGCAGCCGAATGGGAACGTAAGACTGACCTGAACGACTGGTCGCACATCTCGCACTCAAAGGGCTTCTGGTCGGTGTGGATGAGCATGTGGGACTCCAAGTGGCGCGCTGATATGGAGGCGTATGGGCATAAGTCGCACTTGAAGCATTTTTCCCCCTCGTGGGACTTGCTGTGCAGCTGCAAAGCGAGCTGAATGTGAACTTGGCTGATGCCTAAACTTCCGAAGCTTACCTTGTAGCTGTACCGGTCGGGGAAGGATTTGCCGCAGCGTTTGCATTTGAGGGGCTTATCTGATGTGTGCAGTTTCTGGACGTGGATACGCAGGTCGGTCTTGCGGCCGCAAGTCGTCGGACAGAGCTCGCATTGGAAAATCGGCTTGTCCCCAACTGAAAACACCAACACGATTAGTCTCATCCCCTAGCAGATGTCGGCTAAGCAAAGCACTTACTGTTATGCGTGAGCTTGTGGGCCTTCAAGCTGTTGCTTTGCGTGAAGCGCGCACTGCAGATCTCGCACTCGTAGGGCTTCTCCCCCGTGTGGATCCGCAGATGTCTCTTCAATTTGAATGTGTCGGGGCTGGCGTAGGTGCAATGGGGGCACTGGTAGGGCCGCTCCCCCGTATGGCAACGGATGTGGCGCTTTAGCTTCGATAGTTCGACGCTCGCGTAGTCGCACTCTGTGCACTTGTGCGGCTTCTCGTGTGTGTGTCTGTAGCGCACGTGACGCACCAGCTCCCCTATTCAACAAAGCATCAGTTCAAACTCCTGGATAAGTGAATCCTGAAAAAACGCACCAGAAGTGGTAAAGGCCGCTTCGCAGTACTTGCAGGCATGGGGTTTGGTGCCCGTGTGGGTATTGACGTGGTTCTGCAAGGAGGCGATGGTCTTGAAGCCGCGCTCGCATACGCTGCACTTATGCGGCCGCTCCTCCGAGTGCGACTTCATGTGCCTAGACAGCAGGTAGCGCTTGTTACTGATGTAGTTGCAGTAGTTGCACATGTGAGCCTGCGACACCGTCTGCGTGGTTTTCCGCTGCACCACTTTGGGGATCTTGGACTTATCGTCCTCGGTGTCCGAGTCCATTTGGACGCTGTCCTCTTGGTCGTCGAAGTCGTACACTGCAAGGAAACAAGCGCTGAGATTAGGCGGTTGCTGCAGGAGCGCCAGCAGTACTTGCCTGCCATATCCTGGTCTTCTTCCTCGGCTGGCTCCTCTCCTTTCAGATCGGGGTCTTGCACAATTAGCACGTAGCTCAGCTCGCCCGCGTTGGTGTCGGCCGGCACCACAGTCACCCTCTGGAAAGCGTTGCCCGAATTGATCATGATCTGATTGGAGTTGCTGCCTTCGTTGGGCGACGCCTGCTGGAAATTCGCGAACGTGCTCAATGCCGGACGCTTTGCGTCAACGTCTCAAAATTTCAGTTGGACTTCCACTTACACTCTCCTGCACATCGGTTACTTCGACATCCTCCTTATCGTGGTTGATTATGAACTCCTCCTCATCATCCTCGTCCTCGGCGGACTGTTGGGGTAAACTGGACATGACCGTCATCACGGGCTGAGTCTCGCCCTTGGCTTGGAAGTAATAGTGGCCCGCCTGGTCTACGAAGTAAGTCCCTTCTTCCCCATCTCCATCCACTTCTGCCCCTACAAAAGCCATAAATCTGCCACAACAGTTCCATCACCCATTTTGCATAGAATGCGACCACTCCACCCCGTTCACCCTGCCAGTTCAGATGAAGATTTTGAGGGCCCCAAATGGTAAGCCAGGCCTATGAACAGAGACCGTCAGGAGCCCCATCAGTTTTAAACCGTTTCAGCTGGTGCTGGCGCGCAAATCCAAGTTCCAACTTTGGCCGGCCGCTATAGTGGGCGACGCCACCCTGGTGCCGGGCTTCAAGGTCTACTTTTTCCGCAGCCAGGACGTTATGGATCTGCCCAGGGCGCACATTCTGATGTTCTTCGAGAACCTTTTGGAGCGCGACGTGAGCTTCCGGCTCAACAACGGCTGGAAGAAGGGCGTTCTGAAGCAATTCCAAATGGACGACAAGGCTTTCATTCCGGAGTTTTGCGTGGAGACGCGCAAAGGCCTGCAGCACACAGTGCCTTTCTTTGATCTGTTCCTTACCACTAAGCAGGCCGATTTAGTGTTGCCTGAAGTTGTGTCGCAGACTTCCATAATCTCCTGGTAATTGCAAGTAAATTCGGCTGATAAATCGAATGGTTTTTATTCCCGATGGGAAATTTGGGAACGCAGCCACAGGCTCGGAGCCTACAAAACGATACCCCGACGCCCAATTTAAAGCCAGATCGCCTGTTCAATACTGCCAAATGATGTTTGAGCTCTAGGAAAGGCCCCCTGGTCCCTTTACAGTCGCATTTTGGCAAATTCCGGAACGCAGTTCTCTGCATTCAACGTTGCCACTTACACGGGGCTCTCACGATGATGGCTTTTGACTGATATGGCAATAACCATTTGAGGCATAGGGTTGACGTCAATGGACAAAGCCCTCAAATCCCCATCTTCTGGCATAAAAAAATCAATTTTTAGTATTCCCGTCACGTTCCAAATTTGAACATTTTGTAACGATTTTACTCCATTTCTTGAACTACAATCGACGCAAAATATAATGCTTGTTCCAACTTAAGGAACACCCGATTTCACGCAGTTTTCCCAAGAAAAATCTGTAAACATGTGCAATTTTTCGCGAGACCTGGCAACGACGGTGTCAAGTTTTGTTTATTTATGGTGGTGCCTGAATTGTTGTAAAAACTGCAAATTTCTGAGTCATACCAGTGCCGGAGGGCAAGTTGCTGTCGCCAATTTCCTTCTGAAACCCCGCGAGATACGATTGGATTTCGGTAACATTTTCCGAGCTATCCTCAAGCTTGACAGTGGTGTCCATGTATTCCGACCCCATGCTGGTCCACTCCTAACCCTTGTGGTACCTGAAACAAGCAATGGTGCTATATTTTCCATTGTAAAGCCGGGCGGCGCCCCATTAATTCCCTGGGTTGATTGGTTATTGTTAAAAGCCCCCCAAAGGTCCTCTCTTAACCTGCTAGGACGCCATGCGCCATTATGGGACAGCTGCAGAGCTTCTGGCCGCTAAATGGCCGTTACAGGAGCGAAATTAAGGGAAAAAACAACAATCTGAAAGATCATGGGCTGTTTGTGCTTTGAGACATTTGCCTTTCGGATTGTAGGGGGCATTTCAGCGAAAATTTCGGGAAATTATCACGCACGGCGCTGCCATCAATACTCACAAAATGGAGGTCGGTGTTGTTGTTGGGTGCTCAATTTCCTCTTCGCTGGCCGTTTTCACTCATCCAAGGGCACTGAAACTCACTCAAAATATCGGGCACAGATCGCCCGTTTCGATTGCGTGGAAAATGTATGCGAAAAAACTAGGGATTTGCCGAAAATCCGTGAAAAATTGCCTTTGCAACGTGTAACTCCAAAATCGTCCTGTGAGGGCGTCATTCAGGCGAACGTCTATTTCGGGTAACCAGAGATGGCAGGCTAGCGCACCACCTTTCAATTGTTCTGAGCATGCGCGGATTCGCACTGGCCAATGCAACGTCAGTAGTGGCATTAAAGCGGGCGATTTGAACTGTTCTGCAACCTCTTCCACCGATTTAATTAATTAATAAGCCAAGTTAAGTAATTGTTGCCTTGTTGATTAATTGAGAGTTTGTTCTAAACTTTGTCATTTTCCTGTACACTGGAAGCTGTGAATTTGTACACACTTTTAAGCCAGCAAATCAGTTGACTGATTTGAAATTTCGCGCGCGTTTTTGGGATGTGCGCCAACGGGTTGCGGTCGGAACTATCCGGACGGTGCCATTGTGGCTGGTAAAGGGGAGTCTTTGGACTTCTCGCTCTAGCAAAACATGCGACTGCCTTGCGGGTGCGACAAAGAGACAACAAGCTCGCGATGGAATGCTCCATTTTTAAACAATTGCAAATCGCGCTAGTTCCTTAAACGCATAATCATAGTGCAAGTTGTGTTTTTTTGGCCTATTTTAGCCGCATGGAGTGTGTAGATTTTAAAACACTAGCAAAAAGTGGGGGCGAACAGTGTTAGAAACTCTAACACTCCAGGGAAAGCTTTCAAGACTAGGGAGCAGCTGAAAGCGGCGCAAGTTACATTTGAACTTGGCCAGAGACGCCGGGTAAATTTTTTGCATTTCGTTGATTTAATGCCTTTATAAGGCCTTTATAAGGAATATAAATCTATTCATAGCGTTGTTGGAAGATTAGTCAAATTCCACATTGTTGGTTTCTTTTTTAATTAAATACGCTTGATTTTAAGCAGTTCCAAGCACCATTTCGGCTCATCTTGCCCCTAAAGGTCTGATATACATGTTTCGCGTCATGTGAGAAAACTCCTAGTAAATGAGAATAGGAAATTTCAGAATTCATATTTTATTACAACTTAAAAAATCTACATGTCATGATCAGGGTGTTTGCCAGACCAGATAAAGACAACGCAACATGTGGAGAACAATGATAGAATATAATACTGAAACAAATATACCCTTTGAAGAGCTTGTGCAATCCTGGATACTCTTAAACCTACTGTTCCTATATATTAATATATATTAATTTATATATAATATGGTGTATCACAACATTTATTAAGCTATTTAACGGTTATTTGTGTTATTGTTAAGGTTCACTGTTAATAACCGCGACAAATCACATTGAGAATCTTTGGAAAACATTCGCCAGCCAACGGAATGTGAGTGCGCTCATCCCCCAACCCTACTCGGATGTGGTCCCTATCACATTTATTAATTTTTTCGTTATTAGTTGCATCACAGTTGAGAAAAAGGCATCGCTTAGTTCAGTATATGGTACATTATGCCTCGAATAAGAACAACAATTAAGCGCCGATACCGTGCAAGTGATCACTTTTGCGTTCATGGCCCGATTTTAAGCGAAATTGCGCTGCCGCGCCCAATTGGGGCATAAGTAATCAGTCTTTTGTTAAGAACCAAAGGCCATGAAAGCAACCGCGTCTCAATAAGCGAGTATAAACATCGATACAGATAAGTAGATATTAGCGGTATACATACATAGACATACTTTGAGTACAAAAATTATCCATATATATTAGATCCGTACACTTGATAAAAATATTTTCAATTTGGGAATACATATCTTAGTGGGAGTAGGTATACATAATTCATATTTAGATATTCTTCTATATGCTTCTGTTGTAGAAGCTCGGTAAGTTTCGGATATAGATTCACCCGGTGATCTGTCCTAAAATGGACGTTTGATTGAAAACGCATCCGAATAAAGACGTTCACTTTAGGGCTTTGCACACCATTACACGGTTTTCCGCCTGCTTATTAGGAAAAGTGATGTCCCAGAGACTTGTAAAAAACAACAGATTTGGCCTGAAACCGAGTCAAATTGAGCATCAAAACCGATTTTCTTCTGCGAAAAACATTAGAACTTTCCATTATGTTTGGGACAGGATCATTATCATCAGACTTCGCCAGCATCTGCCAACAGCCTTTTTAAAAACGACAGCACTTTCTCGTTAAAATTGGCTCGAGTTTTCAAGTAAAGACGCGGCGCTCCAACTGTAAGAACTCACTTATCATAGAGACAGTGAATCTTTCCATTTGATTGATCCGCAAAAAATTGACAATTACTCCTTTTAAAGTAGCAAACCAAATCGAAAACTAGGTAAGTTTCTCATAGAATCGCGTTTGAAGATGCTGGCAAAACCTGGTAAAGTTGAAACAGAGCGACTGTTGCACACGGAAGTTGTGTCCTGCGGCATGGCCGAACGCGCTAATGAGATAAAGTGCAAGAAAACTGAAGTACCAAAATATACGCTTTTTGATATCCAATATATTGTCTAGACATTTCGTTTGGCCGAAAATCAATGATTCATATAGGCACAGGGCGCATCTCCTCAACGGCTCGGCAAAACAAGCGGACGCTTATCATAACTTTGAAAGGGATTTTTCTTGGCGTAGGGGATAAATAAGTTTTGGAATAAGAAAAATTTACTGCTTTTGGCGCCCTATTTGAACGCTACGCATGCTGCTACACCCAAAAAAATCCCTTTCATAGTAAGATATAAATTATCGGACTATGAAGGACTATTCATTTGCTTATCATAACCGGGACAGAAACAGCTTGGCGAGGACGGACACAAATCAGATTAAAAAACATTGACAGAGTGGCTCGAAATTAATCTGCCGCAACTTTCACCACTCATTGGTGATGAAATTTGGGCGCCTTAATTGGCGAACACGCTGTGAAGAAAACTGATTATTGCTCGAAAGAATATACATACAATAGCTGTAACCGCCGCTTATCTAATGGACTAGCGGGCTGAAATCAGTCTTCACATTCAGTAAATCGGTTGAAAACGTTCACCCTGATCATACAGGATGTGCAAAATAAGAAGGACCAGAATGGAGATAAGATCCACCCCGACAGCCCCTTCTGATATTGAACACATTGTGCATACAGGATGAAATGACTAAATCCAGACTCCATGCTGGGACACCACCCGGCCATGGGCGGCAATGGAGCGCTCCATGTCGCCTCATCATAACTCGTACACTTCCCTGCCGTTGGTTCGGGCTGAGGCGCACCTGGAAAAGCGCCAGAAATAGCCCCCTAAGCTGCCAGAGCCCCTGCAATTCACCTTTTGCTGCGCCCGCCCTCATTGGCCCGCTGAGGGCTACAGTACATGTTGTAGCCGGGAATGATGTGGACGCGAACATCCCCTGAAGGCCGAACACCTTCAGGGCGTTGTCTGCGCGAAAACGACACGGTGGTTTTGCAACAGCAGTACTGAAACATCCAGCCAATCAGCTGAGAGTGGGCGAATAAGTGGGTGGAGCTGACCTGGAATAGATTGACGTAGGCGGATCGGAAGTGCCTGTTGAGGATGCCGTAGATGATGCTGTTGATGCAGGATTTGCTGATGGCCAGCCAGGCCAGGTTGTAGAAAACCTTGTCGGAGACCTTGTTGATGTTGTCCACTGCCAGGATCACCCCGAACGGCACCCAGAAGAGCAAGAAGAGGACGAAGCTGTAGATGTTGGTTTGCGTGAGGGCGCAGTCCCAACTGAAGGTTATCGCCGCCTTGTAGTTGGGCCGGGACTTCAATCTGCAATGGCAACTACTTCAAAGCCTTGAACTCGAGGCGGTAGCAGAAACTTGCTTTCGCACTTGGTAGCCGGTTCGGATGTAGCAAAACAGCGTCACCGTCAGAGGAAACAGCACGAAAATCACACAGACGGTCAGCTGGTAGGGATCCAGACCCAAATCCTTCCTGGTGCAGTAGTCGAAGGACAAATCCGCGTAGAACTGGATAGCTGAGATGATCCCGCATCCGGTCCAAATCATCAGAAGAATCACTGTGATTTTCCTGCGGAAACCATCCATTAGGTGAGTTTCGGGATGGGCGTCCAGTACCTTTTGGTCAGCTTATGGTAGACATCGATGGAGTAGCAGAGTCGGGAATAATTCTCGCAGGCGACCGCCGCCATCGACAGGACCGTGACCAGGAAACACCAAGCGGCCACAAACCACTGGAATTTGCAAACGCCCAGACTGTCTTTCAGTCCGGCCAGGATCACAATGGCGGAGGCGGGGATTACCAGCCCGGTGATCAGCAGATCGGCCAACCCCACATTTACTAAGAACGTGTTACCTGCAACGGATCAATTCGCTCAGAATGTGAGCCCAAACCCTTTACGCATACCTACATAGAAACTAAGTGAATTATAACGATCATATCATATAACGATCTAACCTAGGGCTAATTGAACCTCTATTCTACAATACCACTAACTATAGACTAACACTAGACCTGGGTAACGCAATGAATTTTTAGGAGTTGGCGCAGTGCTACCTACGCAAATGGTTTGGTGCGCCAAACCAACGCACCCGTGCAGTAACTCAATGCTGTTGCTGTGAAAATGTTGATGATTTTTTTACTTGTAATTACTTTCCTGACTGTGTTTCAATTCCAAATCAAATCTATTCCTGGGTTTCAGTCATTTATTGTCTCTATTTATTAATCAAAATACGTTTCGGTGTATTTTTCCACCATCATCAGTTTTTCTAAAATAACAGATAGTGAAAAAAATGCTTTCATTTATTAAAAAAAAAACAACCACAGTTTGTGTCAACAGCCTCATCATATCACATATTAAAATACATCACAATTGCAATACTTTAAAACATTCTAAAATTAATTAGGCCTAACAGGTGATTAGTCAGGACAATCAAATTTGGGAAAAGACTAGAATTATTCGTTCAGATACTTAATTATTTTTACTTATATATTGTTGCTGCTTTAAGCATTGGCATGCATTTGGCGTATTAATTTTGTCCATTATCGGACACAAAACGCATAAAATACTGTTTATATTGATTTCTTTTACTTTCAGCTATTTTTCTTTGCATTCTGAGGATATTATTTTT